ACTGCTGCGGCCACATCGGCCACATCGCGGCCACATCGGCCACATCGGCCACATCGCGGCCACATCGGCCACATCGGCCACATCGGCCACATCGCGGCCACATCGCGGCCACATCGGCCACATCGCGGCCACATCGCGGCCACATCGCGGCCACATCGGCCACATCGGCCACATCGCGGCCACATCGCGGCCACATCGCGGCTCGTCAAAACACGTCCATTGGCCTCCACAGAGAGCGTCACGAATCACGTCCCATTAAGGCGCTGAAAGGCCATGCTTAGCATGTCCAACTCTTCAGCTGTCCATCCAGTTTGTCGCTTCATTTTTGGCGAGGCCGTGGACACGGTTGTAACCGCATACGCCTGCCTGAATGCCGCGTTCCCGTCACGACTCAGCCGTTTTCATTTCTGGCTAATACATGTTTTTTAGCTATTTGCCCCCGTAGGTGGTCATTTAGCTGTTATGGGCGCAAAATGACCACAGTAGTCGGTGCGCCCTAAAACTCAAATAATTAACAACCGCATTTAGTTGCTGGGAAAAATCCCCCACCCAGGCACATGTCTGATGAGGCTAGATATGATCTAGTCTGGGCTGATCTGATCTGATCTGTCTGATGAGACTAGATCTGATCTAATCTGGGCTGATCTGATATGACCTGGGCTGACGTGATATGATCTGTCTGATGAGACTCGAGTGTCCAAGAGAGACTCCAGACGGTGCGGCCGGTCACTGAGGTGCATGAACAAACTCGTTATGGACCCCAAATGACCACTGCAGTCGGCGCGCCCGTAAACTCCAATAAGCAATGAGCGTGCCGACGCGGCCGGACGGGCAGCGCGTGCACCTTGCACCCGTTTTTTACCCTTGCCAGCAAGGAACTTTTACCCTGCCGTCGCGACCTTTGTGAAGGAGAAATGGCAACGCTACTGGGACGCCATTGTAAGCAATAAGTTAAAGGTGATCGAGCCGCAACTGGATCCATGGCCGTCAAGCTCACGTAAGTTGAGACGCGAAGAAGTAACCCTCAGCAGATTACGAATTGCCCACACGCACGCAGCACATAGCTACCTTTTGTGTGGTGGAGAACGGCCTAAATGTCCTCGTTGTGATGCTACTCACGGTTCGCCACGTTATTCACTCCTGCCTACAGCTCAACGAAGGGCGGGCACTTCACTTCGGATGAGATGCGTCAGGTCTTACCTTTTCAGACCTTATTGGTGACGATTCTCGCATGCTTGGCACCGGACAGCTGTTTTCATTTTAGCGTAGGATGCACAGCCATTTATACACCTCGGTAGGCAGTTAGCTGTTATGGGCGCAAAATGACCCCAAAAGTCGGCGCGCTCTAAAACCCCAATCATCAACAAAAAGGATGCTGAAGGATGCCACGTCGGATTGCAACAAGGCAATAGGGGGTTCTTTCGTGTCCGATTTCAGACAAATGCGTACTACCAAGCCAAAATAAAGCCGTAGCATCAGTTAAACCATCACGATATTGTTGAACTCCAAACATAAGAACACGACAGTTGTAAGATTAACTCATCACTCAAAAATGACAAATGCGAGACTCCACGCCTCTAAGCGGCGCTCACCAAACCAGACAAACATTCGCTGGCTAACACACAGGTGTTCTCTGACGCACGTAGGTCTGAGACCGCCAATGCTGGGCAGTTCGCTATGAGTCAGCTTGGGCTTTGGTGATCCACTTACAGGGACAAGGTCAGCGTCCGCAGTTGTTACTGAAGGCGTCCTTGCTTGGAATCGCCAGGAGCTGATATCAATTGGTTGCGAGGGCGACAAGCTGTGCCTTTTGGCTGCGATTTCACTCATCATGGTGGCTGTAAACGCCCTTCCAGTTACAATCGGAGGTTTAGACCTGTCTGGTTGGTTTACTACACCAGATTTTAACTTGCGCCTTTGGTGATGAATCAGCCTCCCGGTGGTAAGCTGGCGCCTCCGTCTTGCCGATTCAGTTGGTGATCGGTTGTATGTTTTGGTGATGTAAATTAATTTTTCCCTAAAATTCATGCGAAAGTGCCGCCATGCAGACAGTTAAAACTGGCTCAACCGGTGCTGATTGCCGTCTTTCTTGTAAGTCTTGTAGGATATGAACGCCGGTGTATAATTGTATAATCATCGTGAGTGCATGTTCCTCTCTGTACAGATATCGCTGTGATAAGAAGTTATTTCGCACCACCAGGTTGGTACGTGTCTTGGCACATACGGGTATGAAAACACTCCTGTCTGAAACGCACATGGGTACTGGCGAATATGTTTTTAACCACTGCTTGTGTGTTATGCGTTAACAATGCTATCCTCTTTGGACGGAAAAACCGTGCATATAACTTTTTGCATTGAATTGAATGTCACTGGGCATGGTGAATGCTTCATTCCTTCAAATTAACACTTCAAGCCCTACTTCATTGGGGACAAAAACACAATATCATTAGCATAGGCAAGTGCATCCAATGTGTACTTACCCCACATGGCAACCAACTTGTAACATTTGCAAATCACAACCTTATCTATGGACACATTGAACAGCATATCAAATGCTTTGCTGGCTCATGGAGTGGAGCACATGTAGACAGGACCATCCCTTTTAGGATTCAGGTTTGCTGTTTTCTCAAGGGCATAAGCTAAATGAGTGGTTGAGTGTCCAGTCTTAAAACCAAACTGGACATCTCTTGTAGGTAGAAAAGGCTCAAGTCTCTTATGAGAATGAGCATGAATTGTTTTGACAGAGTGGTAGGTGAGCAGAATCATTCACCTGTGTTTTACATCTTTTTCTGAAGTCAACACTGTCCAAGTTTTGTGCTATGCAGAAAAACCAGAGATTGATTTCAGGATACTATACCAGCTTTACTAAGTCCAAGTTTGCACCTCAGGAATGATGGAAGAAAAGGGAAAGTTAGTACTCATGTAAATATGAGTCTGAAGTTTACTTGTAGTGCAACATGTGTGGCTACCTGGTTAGGGCTGAGTTAATTCAGATTATCATCATCCTTGAAGTTTTAGCTGCCAACATTTATTAAATCTGCTGTCAAACCTAAGCAGCTTACTGAAAGGGAATGTCCTTTCATGTGTGTGGGGTTTTCAGCTAAGAGACTTTGAACTTTCTAAGCTCCATTGTTTCTGAGCTTGACACACAAACTTCTACGCTTGCTCAGCCTCTGTTAAGATTTACCAAATATCATGATTGAGAAAGGTCACATGGATGCCATCACATCACTGGCCATGTAGTGCTTAAGGTCAAGAAAGAGGTGGTCATTGAATTATTTGTTTTTGGTGTACATCATCACAGTTTGTAGCAACTGGGCTTCAACCAGTGGACTTCATTGAGTGCAAGACTGGAAGATGACATTTTGTGCTGCTCAATACAAGAATTTGGGCAGTGGTACCAATTATGCCAGAAATGAGACCAGAATTTAACAGCTTCAAAATTGTTAAAACAAAGTATATCTATACAAGTGAAAATAAAAAATAATGCATAATATACAAGAACACATTAAGAAATGATTGCCAAAGCATATGCAAACTTTAATATTTGTTTTCCAGCAAATACACAATAAATAAGCCATATATTGTAGCCTGAAGAACTACAAGTTACTCAGCACATGAGCTACAGGGAAAATTTTGATGTGGCTCTGATGTTATAAAAAGCATTCAAGCATAGTAAAATAATAACATATTGGCTATGAGCTCCCCAGGCTGATTGTGCCCATTCTGTCAAAGAAATAGTGTAGGACCCATGCCCAAAATGCTTAATGCAGATTTTTCAGTCTTGTGAAGTTTGACCTCACAACTCTGTCAGGATCTCCAGCCAGGGTAAATGGTGAACCTGGATAAGATTTCCCCATGGTGTGTACAAAGTTATGCAGGAATTGTATGTCTTTATCATTTCCTGCTCATTTCATCCATCACCAATCAATTGTGCTGCTTTCAGGTTTCCAGGTGTATGCTGGAGACAAAGTTGGTTTGTTGAAAGTTGTAAATGTATATTCCAAAAGAAGTTCAGACATGGGCTGGAGGTGCCCAGAATCTAGAAACTTATGTAAGGGTAGCATAAGTTTAAAAAGGATGTTGCTCAAGATGTCAGATGGACATCTCTGCCCATGCTTGCACACTGGGGATTGGCTTGGTATGAAAATAAAACATTGTGTAGACTTGTCACATTTCATATGATAATAGTTTCGACTGGGTAGCATTCCATTCATGCAGATAACCATTGTGAGGGTTGGGAGGATAAGTGAAAGCACCATTATCAACTCATATATCAAAAACAGCTGGATATGGAGAAAAAATAACATGATATTAAATGTCCCACTATGAATCCAAATTTTCAAGGAAAATCTCATTACCCTTGCATATATTTTTTTAATTATGTTCATGTGAAATGCCTGTTATGAAGCCATTACATGTCTTACAATAAAGCCACTAGAGAAGATGCTGTTTATTAACATAAACATGACCAATAGGTAGGGGACCTACATTTATGAGATTGCACTAAAAATCAGATGTCCCAATGTTATGGCACTGACGGAATTGGCTCGGTTTCTACAGGGACGTTATGCAGTGACTTGCTCCTGCTCAGGCAACAATGGCTGGCCAGTTTCCGGGCATGGGCGCTGGCAACACCAGCCAGGGCAACTCGTTCATGATGCAGAACCCCTCCATCTCCAACGTGTTCACCAGCCAGCCGGCCACCGTCAGCTACTCCACAGCGCCCGAGCCGGGCTCGTTCTCGGGACAGGGCGGCACCTTCTCCAGCTACCCGATCAGCACCATGTCCACGTTCGCCACGCAGTCGGGCGGCGGCTACCCGAACCCGCCGGCGTACAGTCAGTCGGGCGGCGCGGCGTACAGCCTGACGGGGTCGTTCGGGGCCCAGTCGCCGGTCTACTCGCAGTCGGGCCCGGCGGCGCGACCGCAGATGGCCGGTTCGCCGGCCGCCTTCCCCGCCGGGCCGCCCTACCAGCACCACTACCAGCAGCCGGCCTTCCAGCAGCAGCAGCAGCAACAGCAGCCTCAGCAGCAGCAGCAGCCACAGCAGCAGCAGCAGCAGGCCGGCTTTGGTGCACCCCTGCAGGGCTTCCCCGGTGCGCAGCAGCAGCAGCAGCAACAGCAACAGCAGTTCAGCCAGACGCTGCAGCAGCAGCAGATGTCGCAGGCGCAGGCGCAGTTCGCCATGCAGCAGCCGCAGGCGGGCCCGCTCTCCGCGTACCAACAGCAGGGCGCCCAGCAGTTGCAGATGCTCATGACCACGGGTAACGCTCTGTCCGCCTCTGCATGCTCGCCGGACCCGGACCGCGCCCCGCCCCGGCCCTGGTGTTGGTCTGCACGCGGGGCGAAACGCTTTCGGCGCATGCGACTGGCCCTACTACGACTCCGCGCGCACGCACCACTGCACGGCCCGCAGCGTGCCTGGTTGTGTCACCGCTGCATGTCGGGCGTGGTTGTGGCAGCTTTGTTCCGTTGCGTGACACTCCCGCGCGCCCTCCGCCGCGCGGTTGGCAGCGCCAAGTTCCACGTTGGCTATCCCTCCTCACGTGGCGTACGGTGGCGGTGGCGGCGGGTCCGTTTGCATGTTTTCTGTGTGTTTGGCTCCTGGCGAACTCGTGCGCACCCGCCGGTGCTTCCGAACTGACAGCCTGCCCCGCGCCTGGGCATGTGAGCCGGCGCCTGTCGGCGGTCCAAGCGAGTACTCGGGGTCTACGGAGCTTGCCCACGCTGGTGGACGCCGGCCAGTCATCTTTGGTTGAGCCCGAAGAGTCCGTCGCATACTGGTCATCTTTGGTCGCGGCTGTCGGAGGGGTGATGGGCGCGCATGTGCTGCACGTGGCTTATTTCTGTCCGTTGCATGTTTCATGACGCTCTTTTTACTGTGTTTCCATCTGCTGATTAATGGGTACTTCGCCGCCGTGTTTTCCAGCGCCAGAATCATCCCGGCAGCGGCGGGAGAAACCCAAGCATAATGATGGGAGATTGAGTTGGAAAATATACCTTAATGTCGTCAACATTGCTATTGATTATGTTGTTAGTGTTTTAATCACTCGGAACCGCTCTTGCGCGGAATCTGCCCTGGTGGGACACTGAGTGTTTGCGGCTCTTCGTGAACCGTGCCGTAGCTGTGGAGCAATTCCTGCGAGTATCGGGCGACCCATGTGCAGCGATGTCTCGTGACCTGACGCCACCCCGTCCCCACCGCAGCTGCGTCGGCCGCCATGAACCAACAGTCGGGCGTGCCGACGCCGCCGCAGGCGCAGGTGGCCGCCGCGCCGCCGCTCCAGCAGCAACAGCAGCAGCAGCAACAGCAACAGCAACAGCAACAGCAACAGCAACAGCAACAGCAGCAGCAGCAGCAGCAGCAACCACAGCAACCACAGCAGCAGCAGCGTGACCACAACATGGCCACGCTGTGCCGCTTCAGTCAGGAGCACTTGCACGATCTGGTCAGCCGCTCACAGGAGCTCTTCAACGTCCTCAAGCTGCACCAGGTACGGCAGAGTTGTCTTCGCGCGCCTGCTTCGCCCGGGCTTAATCGTGATCGAAAGCTGTTAGGAGGTGGGGAAAATAAGGTTATAGAGTTTCATAGGCTACTTAGGATCATTTCCTGTGGGAGCACCATGTACTATAACTGGCCCGCTGGTTTTCAGCTTGTTCTGCGCAACCGTGCCGAACCGCGCGTTGGGGTATTTCATTATAAGAGTTTTTGGAGAATACTGTGGGTGTTCAGGAGCTGGCTGGTTCTCTGGTTCGAGGCGAATCCAGTGGCGATTTTTTTTGAGAATACTGTGAGTGCTCAGAGCTGGCTGATTCTCCGGTTCACGGCGAATTCGGTGGTATTTTTTGGAGAACACTGTGGGTGCTCGGAGCTGGCTGGTTCTCCGGTTCAAGGCGAATTCAGTGGTGTTTTTTTATAGAATACTGTGGGTGCTCAGAGCTGGCTGACTCTCCGGTCCAAGGCGAATTCATTTTTTTTTTAAAGAATACTGGGTGCTGAGAGCTGTCTGGTTCTCTGGCTCATGGCGAATTCGGTGGTGTTTTTTGGAGAATACTGTGGGTGCTCAGAGCTGGTTGGTTCTCCGGTTCAAGGCGAGTTCGATGGTGTGTTGTTTTCAAAATGCATGCATGCTCAGCGATTATGCGAATGGCTCAAAATTTGGTACTTTCAAGCTATTTCTGTTCTGAGGACGGGGGGGGGGGGGGGGGCGGCGCAGCATGACGCTAAGAAATGGACATAAACAACTGTTTGAACGCTAGAAACGGAGCCATTAACGCTCTCATTCGTCGCCACCGGCTGGTACCAATATCAGTAAGTGGGAACACCGGCCAAGGAACTCGTCTGTCAGATCCAGTCGTCTCGAGTTGACAAGTGGTGTGACATCTTCAGACCCATTCACCACCGGCAAGGACGACAGCGTCAAAGCCGCTGCCGCCTTTTCACTACCACTGATGCCACCCGAAATCGAACCAGACAGAACTGCCGTCTCGGGCTCCGTGGCTTCCAGAGGGTAGCCGCGGCTCCGACGCTGTTGTTTGTGGTATTCGCTGACGTTGTTTGTGTAATTCACCGGCATTGTTGTCGGTGGTATTCACCGACGTTGTTTTCTGTGGTACTCGCCGACGTTGTTTGTGTAATTCACCGACGCTGTTGTCTGTGGTATTCGCCGACGTTGTTTGTGTAATTCACCGACGTTGTTGTCAGTGGTATTCACCGACGCTGTTGTCTGTGGTATTCACCGACGTTGTTTGTATAATTCACTGACGTCGGTGGTATTCTCCGACGCCGTTGTCTGTGGTATTCGCCGACGTTATTTGTGTAATTCACCGACGTGGTTGTCGGTGGTATTCACCGACGCTGTTGTCTGTGGTATTCGCCGACGTTGTTTGTGTAATTCACCTGCGTTGTTGTCGGTGGTATTCACCGACGCTGTTGTCTGTGGTATTCGCCGACGTTATTTATGTAATTCACGGACGTTGGTGTCGGTGGTATTAACCGACGCTGTTGTCTGTGGGATTCACCGACGTTATTTGCGTAATTCACCGACGTTGTTGTCGGTGGTATTCACCGATGTTGTTTTCTGTGGTATTCGCCGACGTTGTTTGTGTAATTCACCGACGTTGTCGGTGGTATTCGTCGACGCTATTTTCTGTGGTATTCATCTACGCTGTTGTCGGTAGTATTTTCTGACCTTGCTTGTGGTATTCACGGACGCTGCTGTCGCGCACGTCACTATCTTCGGCGACGATAGAGAAAGATGGCAGTACTCGCCCTGTTATTTTCTTCAGCTGACAACACTGGGCGCTGCATGACGTACAGCAGTCGATGCGCCCTAAAACCCCAAATCATCATCATCATCACAACCTCCGCGTAGTGCGGCCTCCGCGTAGTGCGGCCTCCGCGTAGTGCGACACAAGCGTAATCACCTGCAGCTCAGGCCTCGCGCTGTCCACCGGCTGATTGCGGCCGAGTGGCCGGGACTACCACTGCTGGGGTGGTTGCGCTGGTCCCGTGTAAAGCATCGGTAGCGGCGTCGAGGTGATGCGGGCCCGGGCTGGCAGACAGGAAAACGCGACCAGGGAGGGTCGGATCACGGAGCTACGCCATGGCTCGGGACAGCTATATCATTTCATGCCAGTAGCTTTCTGCCTCGTTAATATGAATAATATTATTGAGCCGCCAAGCCATAGCTACATTAGTCATCATCTGTTTGTGAACAGAACACTTATACTATTGCCCAACATAAAAACGATGCACTAACTTCTCGAGACGCTCACGATTCTCAATAGGTACCTAATTCCTGTCACATCACAACACTCGTTGGCGCCACCTATCGGTGGCCGCACTTGTTTGAGTGCTGACTTCGCACCGCTATATTGTCTGGTATTCACCGACGCTGTTGTCTGTGGTATTCACCGACGTTGTTTGTGGCATTCATCGACGCTGTTGTCTGTGGCATTCACCGACGCTGCTTGTCTGTGCTGTTCACCAACACTGTTGTCTGTGGTATTCACCGACTCTGTGGTCTGTGGTATTCACCGAAACTGTTGTGTGTGATATTCACCGACCCTGTTTGTGGTATTCACCGATGCTGTTGTCTATTATATTCACCGACGTTGTTGGTGGCACTCACCGACGTTGTTGGTGGCACTCACCGACGTTGTCTGTGGTATTCACCGACGTTGTTGTCTGTGGTATTCACCAACGCTGTTGTCTGGTATTCACCGACGCTGTTGTCTGTGGTATTCGGTGACGTTGGTGTTATTCACTGACGTTGTTGGTGTTATTCACTGACGTTGTTGGTGTTATTCACTGACGTTGTTTGTGGCACTCACCGACGTTGTCTGTGGTATTCACCGACGTTGTTGTGTGTGGTGTTCACCAACGCTGTTGTCTGGTATTCGCCGACGCTGTTGTCTGTGGTATTCACTGACGTTGTTGGTGTTATTCACTGACGTCTGTGGTATTCGCCGACGTTTTCTGTGGTATTCACCGACGCTGTTGTCATTCACCGGTGACGAATGAGTGAAGATGCTGTGCCTTTCGTCAAGTGAGACACGTAATTATCAGATATGGCAGTTGAACCTCCTGCTCTGGTATTCCAACTTTTCCAGATCGTTGGTAGCCGGTGGCCAAATGTTTCGGCCGGTCGGTGGAAAGCCAAGGATTACTTACTACCTACCCGTATATAGTGATTTTAAGCGATTTACGCAATTAACAATGATGCCGCAGAGAAGGCTGTGTCAATGATTAAGATCTTCGCGGGCATTGAAAACGTAACACGGACCAGCTGCAGTGGCTTCTGCGGAAGTTGGCAGCTCACTGGCAGAAGATGAGCACATTTACGGGCGCCCGCTGGACACCCATGGATGTGTACCGACGTACAATGTGTGTTTATTACAATTATTTCATGAAGTAACGGTGTAACGGGAAAGTTTCTTTGGGACATGCTTTTAGCTCAGGTGGCTACCATTTTCAGTGCTCTTGGTCGAGGTCAAGCAGAGCATAGAAAGGTCGAATTAACGCCGACGTAGGTTAAATGGGTCGAATGCGCTCGCATCGCGTTACATACGCGCCCTTGAGTAACGTTCGTCGCGAGGATTCCTTTGATATCCATCCTGGCTCAGTTTGGCACATATCCATCTCCAGGCACCACTGCCTTTTCTGCCTTCCCCCCCAAAAAAAAACTTTTCGGCCAAGTGACGCACCTGATGCTAGGGTAAATGAAGGAAACGTTATCGGCATGGTATTAGAGTACGAAGGACTTTGTTTAAGGTGTCTACGCCAACGTTGATGTCCACTTTTGTAACGCCTTGCTGGCCCTCTATCAGCTGAAATGGCTGAAAACAGCGAACTTCCCTTGAGCTGGGGAACCAGACTAGCCCTGAGCAGCCACCGTATTTTCAGGCGTTGTTCTGTGATACCCTTCTGCGCGCGTGCCGTTGGTGCTGCTGGCCGTCTCCACCGGTGCGTCTGTGGCTCCCTCGAGCTGTCGCTGATGGTGCGCCAGCACCATCGGCCGCCGGTGCCGCGCCGACCGCCGGCCGCTGCTCACTCCACTGCGGTGTGCTCTCCCCAGCCGCCGAACGGCACCGCGCAGGGCGCCAACAACAGCGCTGACAAGCAGGGCAAGATCAAACAGCTGCTGCAGAGCATCCGCACCCTGTTCCACCGGCTGCGCATCTTCCACGAGCGCATCTCTGCCTGCTGCGCCGGCCTCGAGTTCACGCCCATGGACGTGAGTGGCCCGGCGGCGGCGGGGCTCTGGCTGAGGACGGCGCCCCCCCCCCCCCCTCCCCCTCACCCCGGTGGCGGCGGGGCTCTGGCCATGGACGGCGCCCCCTCCTCCCCCCCGATGGCGGCGGGGCTCTGGCTGAGGACGGCCCCTCCCCCCGCCACCGTAAGGCACCACCCTTCCGCGGTGATGATGGGGGGGAGGGAAGGGGGGAGGGGGCTGCGTGATCCAACGGTCCTGCGGGCGAGCGGGCGGGGAGGCTCATAAAGCGCCCCTTCCGGTCAAAGGGGAGGAGCCAGACCAGCCGTGCCTCCCGCGAGGGCCCTGCCTTCGGCCAGAGCAGCGGTGAGCACCTCCTGGGCCCCAGCTTTCGATCTCAGCAGGGTTTCTGTGCCCCGTTGTGTCCCACAGGAGCGATGAATGGGTCCTAAGTGTTGAGGTGGCCGCCTTGCGGGTTGGTATGGGCGGCCACCAACACTTACCTTTGGCCGGGATTTGCCAGCCTGTGGATGCCCCGTGTCGTCTCCGCACGCGGGTAACCGGCCTGCCAGACACTGTCCCAGTGCGACACGACCGGTCACTTTGGCGGGGGCCTAGCATCTCCGCGACCCCCCTGTCAGGAAATAGGCATCGAAGATCATTCGCAGGGACGGTGTACAGAACACCATACCACTTACCGAGTATCTGGTAGTTCAGGGTAAGAGGGGCTCTCGCGGAGAACAGCGGCGTGCTCTCGCGGAGAATGGCGGTGGCTCTCGCGGAGAACGGCCGGTCTCTGGGTGAGGGTGGCGGTGCTCTCGCGGAGAACGGCCGGTCTCTGGCTGAGGATGGCGGCGCTCTCGCGGAGAACGGCCGGTCTCTGGCTGAGAACGGTGGGGGTCTCGCGGAGAACGGCCGGTCTCTGGCGGAGGACGATAGGGCTCTCGCGGAGGATGGCGGCGCTCTCGCTAAATACGACCGGCGCTGGTGGAGAACGTCGGCGCCCGTCCGTCGTCGGTGCCGGCGGCTGGCGTCCTCAGCCATTCCGGGCAGCCTCCGAGCCTCCCTCCCCCCGCTGTGGCTAAACATGCGGCTTGCGCTATGCACGTCGCTACCGATGATGGCGACTGGTAGGATCTGACCCCCCACCCCCCACCCCTTTTTCCTCCGGTAGGGATTGATTCCGTACAAGGATGAACCGGACAGCAAACTGGACGAAAAGAAAAACTCCGAACAATACCGGCTGGCCATGGAAGAATACAACGAAGTGAAGGAGGTATGCAGATGGCGGGTTGGATCTATCAAATCATGCGTTTAGCGTAGTTGTGTTAGTAGTTGTAGTTGTGTTGTGCGAGGAAATGCTACAGCTTGAACAGAAGTATTATTCTATTTTTTTGATGTCATCCAAACCTTAACGACCATGAATGGCTCCCATTGAATTCCTGAACGTAAGCTAATAACCGTAACAGTGGCACTCATCTGCAAGTGCCAGTCGGTCGCTGAACCCGTCCTCTCCCCGTCGACAGCAGGTGCAGCTGCGCAACCGGTACCTCAAGGAGGTCATCGACCAGCTGCGTAACATGGTCTGGGACGTCAACACCATGCTGGCCATGCGCTCGCCAGCCTGAGCTGGCCGGCGCGAGACGCGGTGTGGCAGCTGTGGCGAGTGGCGCCTCAGTGTCGTGCGCACCCATCAGTGTTCTCTGTGTAACCGGGGAGCGCCCGCGTGCACTGGCGTGGGGGCCTACTGTGCACGCACAGGCGTGGGGGCCTACTGGGCACGCACCGGCGTGGGGGCCTACTGGGCACGCACAGGCGTGGGGCCTACTGGGCACGCACCGGCGTGGGGCCTACTGGGCACGCACCGGCGTGGGGCCTACTGGGCACGCACTGGTGTGGAGGCCTTCTGGAGCTGTTTGGCGTTTGTTGTCACCGCGTTGTATTTAATGCATACCGAGGCATTGTAAATAAACATGGCAGGTGGATGCCGCTGTTTTCGGAGCCACTCGCACGCACGCTACGTCATCTCACATGTATTGAGTATTGTAAACATGTATTCACTGTGTTCAGTGGAGAGGTGGGAGGATACCAGCCTTTTAAGCACCTCAGCCTCTCTCTCCCGTACCAGATCCCTCAGCCGTGTACCTATACCATCTTCCTGGAGGGCTCGACGCTCACCACCAGCATTGAGCGCTCGGAACATTATGACGCGCGCGCTGGGATTACCCAAAGGGCACAACCCTCAAAACCGTTCAGAGCAGGCGACACGCGCCACCGGGACCGCCCCGGAGCACGCGACGGTCGTCACTGGGATCACTGGAACACGCGACGGTCGCCACGGAGACCGCTCCGAGCAGGTGACTCCCATTGGAGCCGCTCCGAGCAGGTGACTCCCATTGGAGCCGCTCCGAGCAGGTGACTCCCATTGGAGCCGCTCCGAGCAGGTGACTCCCATTGGAGCCGTTCCGAGCAGGCGACTCCCACTGGAGCCGCTCCGAGCGGGTGATTCCCATTGGAGCCGCTCCGAGCAGGTGACTCCCATTGGAGCCGCTCCGAGCAGGTGACCCCTGGGAGCTGTTCCGAGCAGGTGACCCCTGTGGGCCACTCCGAGCAGGTGACCCCTGGGAGCCGTTCCGAGCAGGTGACCCCTGGGAGCCGCTCCGAGCAGGTGACCCCTGGGAGCCGCTCCGAGCAGGTGACCCCTGTGGGCCACTCCGAGCAGGTGACCCCTGGGAGCTGTTCCGAGCAGGTGACCCCTGTGGGCCACTCCGAGCAGGTGACCCCTGGGAGCCGCACCGAGCAGGTGACCCCTGGGAGTCGCTCCGAGCAGATGACCCCCCTGAGAGACACCCCGTGCACGTGACCCCCCTGAGAGACACCCCGTGCACGTGAACCCCATGGGAGCCGCTCCGAGCAGGTGACCCCTGGGAGCCGCTCCGAGCAGGTGACCCCTGGGAGCCACTCCTAGGGGCCACTCCTAGATGACCCCTAGGAGTCGCTGTGGGGGGCGCTGGCGCAGGCAGAGCTGCAGAACACTTCGCTGTTGGCGCAGATGAAGTTGGAGTCGACGAGGCCAGTGCGGCAAGTAAAGCAGTGGAAACACTGGGCCTGGCGCGCCAGAACATGTGCCAGAACATGTGGTCACCCATGCTGACCCCTGGCGCGATCAGCCGGGAGCAGGTCGCACACGTCTGCCGGCGAGCAGGTCAGAGGGCGTGTGGGAGCGGCGCCGGCTGTCATGCAGGGCCATGCGGCGCACGGTTCGGTGGCTCAGCCCTCGACTCGGAATTCGGACGTGCCGTAGCGCAGTTTTTACCACGTGATTCATGCATCAAGAGCGGATCCAGAGTGGAGGGCAGCGCCCCCCCCCCCTCCCCATGTAGTTTTGGTGCCCCGGAGAACCTCCAAAATTTGATGATCAAAGGGCACGGAGTCCTTCATTTCGTAGCCGCATAGCCGCTATTTTCACCACTTTGGGCCCCCAATTTTTTCGAGTCACCGAATTCCAGGGGCACCGCAATATCAGTGACTGTCGGAGCCCAAACCCTTCGTGTTAAATGATAATTTCCAGGGGATGCCGCGACGCCTATTTTCGTCCCTATTTTGACGAAATCTGTGAGTGGGACTGTCGCAAGGGGGCACCAAAGCGCTCATTTCGAGGCGCCATTACTTTTCCTAAGGGGCACCAAATCCAAGCGGGCCATTAAGAGGTCCGAAACGTTCATTTTCAACGAGCACCACAATTGTTTGCCCCCCACCCTGCTGCAAGCTTGGATGTGCTCCTTCGGCGAAGGAGTACTGAAAACCTTTTAAAAAATATTCCTTTAGAGGACACAAAACAGTTCATCACACATTGCTCACACCTGACTCATCTTCTGGACCCCATTTCATTCGGCGCTCCCTCCCTGGTCCAAGGAGCAGGAAGTTTACATATTCGCGGCGGCCTTTTTTATCTCGATCCGGGGGCCTCCCCGGGTAGCCAGGTCTGCAAGGAGCAGGGGTCAACACGGCGGGGTCGGCATGACGGCGGTGACCGACCGGCGTTGATTCACCACGGATATGAGGCTGCCGCGCCGGAGGCAGGGTGCTATCGCACGTCCTGCTCCGGCCCGGCCGCTCAGCTCCAGGCTCCAGTGAGGCCGAGCCGCCCCCGGCGCAGGCAGGACGCGGCGGGTGTGTGCGACGGTCAGTCGGGCACACTTGGTGACGCCCGAACTGCCCGACCCGTGACACACAGACTCCAGGACGCCGGTCACCAGCCGTCCAGGGAGCGAACGCCCACGCAGCCCGGGTCACCAGTCAGCAGTCGGCGAGAGGCTCAAGGTCACCAGCAGACGGACACCGAGAGGTCGGACCCACCACGGACTCCTGCCATGTTGCGTGCGCACAGCGTCATGCTCAGCCAGCTGATGTTTGCAGCAGCCTTCATCGCCGCCGGCCGGTGCCGTGAGCGGCGGCAGACTTGCGGTCACTCGTACTGCACGGTCCTACCAGACTGCACCAGGCCGATCTCCATGAACTGCAGCGGCGGGGACAGCTTATGGGTAGGCATTTTTCACATCCTTGTTATGCGTTATTTTGTACTATAGTAATGGCCTGCGATCGAACAATGACGGAACCAGTAGGGCCTCTATCTACTGGTAGGTGATACAAGCTAAAAACCTGCTACGTCTGTGCATACGCGAGCTATAGCGTTGTTAATGACTCTTGAAGAGTGTGCTAAGTCAGATCAGAATTTTTCATTGTGCACCCAAGATGGAAGGGAAATTCGATTTACGTCGATTGGTACCCCTTGTTTCTACCAATCCGCTTTCATTTATCAAATACTTCAAGTGCCGAAGTTCCTGCTGGCAGCACAAAGTTATCGGGTGACCTCAAAGCTTTTTCACCGCCGATTTGCTGCTCTTATCGCGAACGTATCGTTAGCGCCAGCGAATGATCTTCCGCTGTGGTTGTGGCACTGTTTCCGAGTCTTATTTATCAGTAATTGGTCTTAGACACCATGTACTCTACTCAAGCTCTTCGTATATATTTCAGACCCCGCGTCATGCGGCCATATACAAGCGTTGTGCGCCACCGAACGCCAACGATATAAAAGGGAAGCCGTCACTAAAATCTAGGACGGCTACCGTACATAGTAGTACATCGCAGAGGGAACTCGTCAGCATTGACGGTGCGCTGAAGTGCGCGCTGCGTCCAGCCAACAGCCACTCTTGGGGAATTAACAATCTAGCACTTTTTCAGTCGCAGTAGGCACTGCCGACACTAAGAACTACTGCTTGTAATTTTTCAGGCCGAGTGGGAATTTTGGACAATGTTCAGAGCTAAGTCAAGGCAAGGAACCTTTTTTAGACTACGCCTAATTGATATGTGTGGTGCGCCCATGAGAAAACTGAGCGATGACTTCGGGACCGGTGGATGGGAAATAAAAAATATTCAGAGATGAATATCACAGGGAAAATTATTCGTTGAATGACGTCATCGTGGCTGAACACGTCCCGTCCTAGATTGCCTATGGTTTAGTGGGTCGTACCAGTGTGTTTGAATTATTTCGATTTATTTCTGACTTAATTGTTATCGGCCAGGAAAGTATACCCACTGCTCGAAGCTTTTGATATATATCACAATTCCTCAAAGAATGCTTCACCAAGCAAGTATGTGAAAGCTGTTTTTGTATTGTCTAGGTGTTAACCTTGCGGAGATTTTAGCTCATTTGCAAGTTTCTTTTAAGGCTCTGACCCATTACTGACTGTTGGTGAGGAACCCAGTTTGACCTCAACTTAGCCCATTGGGTCCATGAAAGCATGGTTCGGATACATTATTTCTATCATTTATAAGCATATTGGTAATGTATTCTGATAAAGTGTGAGGCTCACCCTTCTTTATACTGAATGTGTGATGCGATGTGTGTAACACAATGCAACATCAGACAATGCACTATATATGCATATTTCTAATGGTACTCTGTGCAATAGCTTTCGCCTTACACTTATTTGGTTGACCTTATTCATTTTCCACTGTCTTTTACATTCTTAAGAGAGCGCTCTAAACATAAGAAGCCTAATATCGCATCCAACGAGAGAAAAAATCCCCAAACTGTGTAAACCTCACCAGTATGTCTGAACTGGCCATTCAGAGGTTTCAGAATGATTATCTAGGCAGTGAGCGAATGGTTCACGAGGGCCGCAGTCTCAGCTGGCCACATATTCATCACAGTGCGTTGAACAGTTAGGGTGGCATTTTTGAAAAGAATGGGCGGATTAGACTAATCCTTGGATTGACGAGGATCGTACCTTGAACATCAATAAGTGAGGTATGTAAATACAGATAGTGCTGCGAAGCCTGTACCCCAAACAGCAAATTAGCAAACACTCTTGCAGACTTTTCCTGTCCCCGATAATCCCAGCATCGCTCTGGCAGTTAGGGCGCTACCAAAGGCTACTGTTCCTAGTGAACACCACCAAATGTTACTGTTGATACTGAACATCACCAAAGGTTGCTGTTGATATTGAACACCACCAAAGGTTACTTTTGATATTGAACACCACCAAAGGTTACTGCTGATATCGAACACCACCTAAGGTTGCTGTTGATACTGAACACCACTAAAGGCTACTGTTGATACTGAACACCTTCGAAGGTTTCTGTTGATATTGAACACCACCAAAGGTTGCTGTTGATACAGAACATCACCAAGGGGTGCTGTTGATATCGAACACCACCAAAGGTTACTGTTGATACTGAACAACACTAAAGGCTACTGTTGATACTGAACACCTTCGAAGGTTTCTATTGATATTGAACACCACCAAAGGTTACTGTTGATACAGAACATCACCAAGGGGTGCCGTTGATATCGAACACCACCAAAGGTTACTGTTGATACTGGACACCATCGAAGGTTAGTGTTGATTCCGAACACCTTCGAAGGTTTCTGTTGATATTGAACACCACCAATGGTTACTGTTGATACAGAACATCACCA